ACGTTCTTTACATTGGTGGACAGTCAATGGGGAGAATGCCTCTTACATTGTTGGTCATTGGGGAGAATGCCCTTTACATCAGTGGTTAGTGGAATGAATGCCTGTTACATTGGTGGTAAGTGGGAAGAATGCTCTTTACAGTAGTGGTCAGTGGGAAGAATGCCTCTTGCATTGGTGGATAGTCAGTGGAGAGAATGCCCCTTAAATTGGTGGATAGTCAGTGTGAGAAATGCTTTTTACATTGGTTTTCAGTTGAAAGAATGCCCTTACATTGGTGGTCAGTGGGAAGAATGCTTCTTACATTGGTGGATAGTCAGTGGGGAGAATGCCCTTACATTGGTGGTCAGTGGAAAGAATGCCTGTTATATTGGTGGTCAGTGGGAAGAATGCCCTTTACAGTGGTGGTCAGTGGGAAGAATGCCTCTTGCATTGATGGATAGTCAGTGGGGAGAATGTTTCTTACATTGGTGGATAGTCAGTGGGAGAAATGCTTTTTACATTGGTTTTCAGTTGGAAGAATGGCCTTTACATTGGTGGTCAGTAGGAAGAATGCCTCCTACAGTAGTAGTAAGTAGAAAGAATGTCCCTCTTCCAGTGGTGGATAGAATGCTACCCTTACATATAGCTAAAAAGACTTGTCAAGAAGTCACTGGACCTGGAAATATGCAGGCACCATCAGATAGTCTAAGGCACAGCTCAAGGAACCCTGGTTGAGAATGGCTGTAGTAGCTACTCACATTTAGCTATACTTTGTAATGTTGAAGATGTTTTGACATTTATCAAATAGCTTTTTTGGCTCTATTGAGTATCAAGAGCATATCCCAACTTTTATATCCACATGGATAACTCAGTCACCCTAATCCAATCACCTCAAGATGTGTCAAGGCAGATGTTATCCAGGAACATGACAGGAGGTGTGAAAGTTTGTGAAACCTACCCTAATTACAGAAACCAATCACCAAGGTGCCAAGGAGTCTAGGACATGTGTTAATTTTTCCAGTTACATGGCTGAAGGTGTGGATTAGTTTCAAATCTGAATTAAAAAACTGTATCCAAATCCAAGGTAATTTAGTTGAAACTGGAGCTTAGCACAACTTTGCTTTTTATCTGAGTTTATAAAAGTAATGAATAAGCAAGCAAAGTGCGCATAAAGGAGAGATGCATTGTAGAAAGCTGGCTTACAATTACCCACTTGATAGCCATTTTACTTGATATTATTATATCCTTTCATTATAGTTGTTTGTATTGTAGTATTTTATGTATAGGAATAGTTAGCAGGGATCCAAACATTTTTTATATTATCTACTATTAAAAGTTTAGAGCTACTTCAGCTCCAGCTATTCCTCTGACTCTCATTTACATGGATAGAAAACAATTTCTACATTTTCCTATTAGGGGAAACTGTCTCTGGAGGTTGCAGGTGGTTCATTGCAACTAGATAAGTTCTATCTTTCTTTGAGAGGGCTTGATTGTCAGGTGTGAATAAATATAATGATGAAGATAAAGACTCTGAAGTAAGTTTTATTGCTGCTTGGCGGAGTTAAGGATTCCAATACATCTACAAATGACTGCATGCTGTTTGCAAATGTATTCCTCACTGTGCCTCTATTCAGAGTAGATTGTTGAGCTCCCGAAAAGCTCAGGATTTGTTTGAAAGGAAATGTTCAGGGGGGTGTGGGGCTGAAGGACCATGAAGATGATGGATAATAATTGAAAGAAGCAAAATGAAGTTACAGAGTTGGAAATAAATCAGAGGGTATAGTTAATGATTACTGGAAGGTGAATCCCATAAATAAGCTTTCTACTTACATACCTACTGTACTAGGCAACGTTAATGATTTATCATGCACGGCTCAGTGGAGCAGAAAGTGGTTGTGCATTAATGTTGGTGATCTGAAAAAAAGTGAGTAATATACTGTAACTGCTGCAGTGCACACACATTGCATCCTCACTTACGGAGTAGTTGAGAATAGCGATTGTATAATTCTGAGCACACAGGGATGAATATTCATAGATTCTTATGACTGCTACATAATTCACACACCCCCATAATTGCTACATTAAGCCAATGGTGATTATTATATGTTACACATAATGTGACAACCAGTTATGCAATCAAGCAGTAGAGAGATAAGACATTCATGTAAAGCTTAAAAAATGGTACATATGGAGTGACACAGGAATGCATCTGCATCCAGTAATGGAATTAAATTAGGAATATTAGGATGATTTTGAGAATTTAAACACAGGGCTGATGTGTGCTATGGTTTGTGAGCTGATCTCAGTTTTTCCTTTTTTTAATAATAAATAACTGTACCAAAGGCGTAGACACATTTATGTGGTATACAGGAATCAGTCAGACAGTCAAATCTAGCACAGGCATGCAGTAGTAAAGAGACCAGTAACAAGTGCTTCCGCTAACAAAAGAGCCAGTAAAACTTTGGCATCAGGTTTATTTGTTCAGACTATCTGGCTTCTGAAAAAAATGTAGCCAGATAGTTTACCAAAACCTAAATCTTTAAGTGATCCGACTTGTATGTTGTGGACTTGTATGCTGGTTTCTAGACCTTTTTTTTACTCTTACACTTGGTGATTCAGAAAAGACTTTTCCATTTGCAAGTTCAGCATATCTCCATTCACTTTTAGCTTGGGTTCAGACTTATGCGGTGCGACATACCGCATGTGATTCGCACAGGAACCACACCGCATTCCTGTGCAATACATATGCGAATTCTGTGTGGTGCGATTTGAGCCATACATTTTGTATAGTTCAAATCACACTGCATCCGCACTAAAAAGGTGTAGGACCCTTTTTTAGTCTGCACTTAGAATCTGATCGCATGGATATTCACACCCATGCGATCCGATTCTGTACATCACACCACGTTTTGAGGACTGATTTTGGGGTGTTATTAAATTGAATGAACGGGTTGCGATTGTGATGCGGTCCGGAATTTGCATAGAAACCACTGCGAATTCCACACCACATCAGTGTGAACCCAGGCTTAGGGGTACTTCACTATAGGATACCATCAAACTGTTAGCTTCTAACATCCAATCAGGTTAAAGCGGAACTAAATCCATCGATTTAGCCTGGGTTCACACTTCTGCAGTGCGGAACATCGCATGTGATTTGCAAAGGAACTGCACCACATTCCTGTGCAAATCACATGCGAATTCTGTGTGGTGCGATTGGAGCCATACATTCTGTCTGGCTCAAATTGCACCACATCTGCACCAAAAAGGTGAAGGACCCTTTTTTTTCCACATTAGAATCGGATCGCATGGGTATTCACACCCATGTGATCTGATTCTGCACATCGCACTACATTTTGTGAACTGATATCGGCGTGTTGTTAACTTAACATACACACCTGCAGCAGTTTGCGTGAACGGGGTGCGATTATGATGCGAAATTCGCACAGAAATTCAATTTCTGCACCACATCAGTGTGAACCCAGGCTTAACAGTTTAAAAAAAAATATATGTTAAATTACCTGCATGCAGGGAATGCTAACTGTCACTTTTGCTTGTGCTCTCAACCAAACTGTCAAACCATTGAATGGCTGGGGTCATAACTGATCACATGTGCAGTACCATGGCAGTGGCAGATCAAACAGACTCTGAGATGGCAGCTACCTTGGCTGAAAAGGATAGGAGGGGTTAGTTCCGCTTTAAGGACTAGAGCAATGTAGAAGAACAGAGACCAATTGGGAAAGTATTACAACCTATCAAATAGATAAGTAAACAAATAACAGTTGGCAACTCAGATGGCTATTTTAAAGTGTCAACAATGCAATAATGCAAGCAAGGTGTATTTATCCTCGGTGAGTTGTAACATTTCTTGGGTAGGTAGCATCTCCAGGAGCAGTTATCAGACATGATCTGGATAGCAGAGCCATGTAGAAAGAAAATGTGGGTTTGATGTCATGAAATGTTTATCATTCTGCAGCAGGAATCTGACAAAAAAAAAAAAGAGAAATATAGTATGGCTAAAATTTGGTGTGGCTGAATAAGAAATATATCAAAACCACAGCCGATATTGCCTTTGAACATTAGAAGTATGGTGGGCATAACTGCACATGTAATAGGAATGCATAAGGATACAATTAGCTGTTTTAGCAAAGTGTTTTAAGACATTGGCTCAGGAACTGGAGAAAGTACAGAGAAGGGCAACCAAACTGATAAGAGGCATGGAGGAGCTCAGCTATGAGGAAAGATTAGAGGAACTGAATTTATTCTCTCTTGAGAAGAGGAGACTAAGGGGGGTTATCATCAACATGTATAAATACATCAGTGGTTCATATAGTGATTCACCCTGAGGTCATCACAGAGGACAAGGGGGCACTCTTTACATCTGGAGGAAAAGAAATTCAATCTCCAAACACGGAAAGGTTTCTTCACAGTAAGAGCTGTGAAAATGTGGAATAGACTCCCTCAAGAGTTGGTTCTGGCCAGCGCAGCAGATTGCTTTAAAAAAGTCCTGCATTCTTTCTTAGATATACAGAATATAACTGGATACTAACATTTATAGGTAAAGTTGATCCAGGGAATATCCGATTGCCTCTCGAGGGATCAGGAAGGAATTTTTTCCCCTGCAGGAGCAAATTGGATCATGCTTTGCTGTTTTTTTTGTCTTCCTCTGGATCAACTGTGGGTGTAGGATTATAACTTTTTTTTTTATGGCTGAACTGGATGGACTTTTGTCTTTTTTCAGCCAGACTAACTAACTAACTACCGTATTTTTCGCTCCATAAGATGCACTTTTTTCCCCCTAAAAAAGGGGGGAAAATGTCAGTGCTTCTTATAAAGCGAATATAAAGCGGCTGGTCCGGTATTTCCGCCGCCACCATGTCAGAATACCGGGCCGGGCACTCTCTGCGGCAGGAACTCACCTGTTCCTTGGTCCAGCGCTGTAGTTTTCCAGCGCTGGCTTCTTCCTGCCCCGGCATCTATGACAGGTCCCAAAAGACGCCGGGCCATTCACAAAGCGCAGCGCTTCTCTTGCATGCGCAGTGGGCACCCGGCTGTCAAAGTCGGGTGCCCACAGTATAGGAAGGAGAACTCCGCAGAAGTGGGAGCGGGTACCTGTCAAATTCAGGTAGCCGCTCCGCCTCCCTCCCTAAAGGTCTGCAGTGTCTGGTCATGCCCTGTACTGTCTGCAGTCTCTGGTCATCCCCTGTACTGTCTGCAGTCTCTGGTCATCTCCTGCACTGTCTACAGTCTCTGGTCAACTGTACTGTCCGCAGTCTCTGGTCATCTCCTGTACTGTCTGCAGTCTCTGGTTATCCCCTGTACTGTCTGCAGTCTCTGGTCATCTCCTGTACTATGTCCACAGTCTCTGGTCCATCTCCTGTACTATGTCCGCAGTCTCTGGTCATCTCCTGTAGTATGTCCGCAGTCTCTGGTCCATCTCCTGTACTGTGTCCGCATTCTCTGGTCATCTCCTGTACTATGTCCGCATTCTCTGGTCATTTCTCCTATACTGTGTCCGCAGTCTCTGGTCATCTCCTGTAGTATGTCTGCAGTCTCTGGTCCATCTCCTGTACTATGTCTGCATTCTCTGGTCATCTCCTGTACTATGTCGCATTCTCATCTCCTGTACTGTGTCCGCAGTCTCTGGTCCATCTCCTGTACTGTGTCCGCAGTCTCTGGTCATCTCCTGTACTGTGTCCGCAGTCTCTGGTCATCTCCTGTACTGTGTCCGCAGTCTCTGGTCATCTCCTGTACTGTGTCCGCAGTCTCTGGTCATCTCCTGTACTGTGTCCGCAGTCTCTGGTAATCTCCTGTACTATGTCCGCAGTCTCTGGTCATCTCCTGTACTATGTCTGCAGTCTCAGGTCATCTCCTGTACTATGTCAGCAGTCTCTGGTCATCTCCTGTACTATGTCTGCGGTCTCTGGTCATCTCCTGTACTATGTCTGCAGTCTCTGGTCATCTCCTGTACTATGTCTGCGGTCTCTGGTCATCTCCTGTACTGTGTCTGCAGTCTCTGGTCATCTCCTGTACTGTGTCTGCAGTCTCTGGTCATCTCCTGTACTATGTCCGCAGTCTCTGGTCATCTCTTGTACTGTCTGCAGTCTCTGGTCATCTCCTGTACTATGTCTGCAGTCTCTGGTCATCTCCTGTACTGTGTCTGCAGTCTCTGGTCATCTCCAGTCTCTGTACTATGTCTGCAGTCTCTGGTCATCTCCTGTACTGTGTCCGCAGTCTCTGGTCATCTCTTGTACTGTCTGCAGTCTCTGGTCATCTCCTGTACTATGTCCGCAGTGTCTGGTCACTTCCTGTACTGTGTCTGCAGTCTCTGGTCAGATCTTGTACTGTCTGCAGTCTCTGGTCATCTCCTGTACTGTGTCCGCAGTGTCTGGTCACTTCCTGTACTATGTCTGCAGTCCATTAGTTCAGAATATTTTTTTTCTTGTTTTTCCCCTCTAAAACCTAGGCGCATCTTATGGTCAGGTGCGTCTTATGGAGCGAAAAATACGGTAACTAACTAAGGAGGACACTAAAGATTGCAAAGCCAGACTGAAACGTTGTAGGGAGCTATAATGATTGGAAATACTGAATCTTTCCCAATTTTTGTATTATTTACAGAAGAAAAAAGTTAAACACATGCATCTACTGTACTTGTCATCTGAAGTGTCATTAGAACGTCCACATCGTCAAAGCCTGCCAGTTCAGGACAAGATCACTTAGCTGACAGTCAAGACCACTCGTTGTTTGAAGATACTGCAGTTCTCTGCAAAGCAGTTAATCCTCAGTGCTGCCCTTAGGTAGTTTATTTTTGTTTTTGTAGTAAACATGATAGGAACTTGTTTTCTGATCAATTTCATATTTATTTTCAGTTTTATTACAAGTTTGTATTTTTTTAAATATGCATTGTTGAAGTGATATTTGCAGATTGTTGTATGCATCTGGCGTATTTACATAGAATAGATATACTCTTCCTCAATAAGAGGTTGTGTTTCTCGTAACCTCCGATAAATCAGAAGAGTGACTTGTGCAGTCAGTTAAATTGTCAATGACAGCTTGAACTCTAAGCACTGTACATGTAATGCTTAGGTGAATGAAGACAAAGTAGTGGATATTGAAAAGAATGAGGGCTGAGATTAGTAATTAGAGAAGAAAGAGATTGGGGGGGGGGGGCAAAACCGAAAAGCTTGGCAACTTCAGCTCAGGTAGGTAGAGGCAAAAGGCTTCCTTACCCTTCAAAGCTGGCTAGAGTTTAGATTGATTACATTTCGAATTGGACAGCAATTGTAACCCGTGTATTGTATGAATCAGCAATTGGATAAGTGGGAGGTTTTTTTCAGATTGCAGAGTTAGCCAGGAACCCTTTTTTTCATATTTTGATTGTTAAGCTACATATAGGTGGGTAGATGTCTCCAAAAGAACAACACGTGGGAAATGTGTCAGTTTCTATTGTCAGGACAGGCCACTGTTTCTTGAGCAGCTTGCCTTTTCAGCTCAGTACTTCACTCCATCCTTCACTCCATCTTCTCTTTAAAGAGAACCTGTCATCAATGCAGGTAAAAGCACAGATCAATCAAGTAATTTAAATGCTTACTTGGAGTGTTTTTCCTAGCCATAAATTATTATTTATTCACTTTTATTATCTTTGAACTCGACAGAAAATTAGACTTCTCCAGGAAGAGTCAATTCCCTAGTGCAGGCCACTCTCTCCTTGCTCGCCATAACCCATTCCTCTTCTGGGATTGTCTAATTACTCTCTGTGCTGACCCAGCTCCCTGAATAACCTTTTATGTAGCATCCAGGAGAGGATCAAAAGGAAATACTATAGCAATAGACAACACCCCTAACACACCCCCAGTTACGAACACAAAAATTATCAGTGAAACCCAAATGGTGCTTCTTTTCAACAATTCTTTTCCTTTATACTGGGTTAGAACAATAAACACAACAAATACAATATTGTAAAGGGTGGATAAAAGGTTAGTGTAGTATAATACTTTTGACAGGTGAAGTACAACTCTGTGCTGGAAGAAAAAAAAAGCCTTGCAGTGCCCCCCTAAATGCTTGTTAGGTCTGGAGGGACATTTAGAAGGCAGCGTTACCTGCTTTATCGCCATTCCAGTTGGCTCTGGCTTTCTCCTCTTCTCCCCCCATGGTGCACTAGGCTGTGGGCAGTCCTTCAATGTCATCATTTACAATGCAGGGCAGCAAGCAAAACTGCAACTGTGGCTGGGAGCACTTTAGAGACGAGGCTTCAGAGGGTAGAAACACCTACTTTTTGGTAATCAACTACATTGTATAAACATAAGTCTGTTTCATGCATTTGTCTATTTTATATGCGTATTTCAAAATTGGTTATCTGATCTATGAGTGATCGAAAAAAAGAGGCAGGGTAAACTTTTGAAGTGCATGTTAAAGATACTGAAAATCTAGGTAATGCTAACCGTATTACATGATTACAATATCCTATAATCTGAGTAAATAAAACAAAAAATACAGGTACAATACAAAACCTAAATAAAAAATCAATGTGGAATAGAGATTCATGAATAAGTATTGTACATTCATTGAAAACAGGTCCATCTGGTGCAAGGCTCATCTGAATTGTGATGCAACCCCTTCCCGTGTAAATACAGATGGCAAATCTTGTAGCTCGGCTTGATTAATCAAAAAAAAAAAAAATCCTCTTCATTGTTATTCAGTGGTATCATGTATATCTGTGTGTCTGAAGCTTTCATGGAAAACTGACTACAGACATTAAAGTACAACAGTATGTTATTAGATTCTAAGGCAGCAAATAGAGCACAAAGACTGTATAAGTATAAGGAATTTTGCAAAAAAGTTCTAAAATATTCTGCATGCAGAAATTTGACATCAATGATGCAAATGACAAAGAAATGCACAAAGAATACCTGTAGAGATATGCATATGAAGTATACCTAGGCATTTTTAGTGCTTTTTCCATTTTGCAAAACCTCACTACAGTCCGTTTAAAAATGGTTTCATATGGGACTCGTTCACATCTGTGTTGCTGCGTTTTTGGAATGGGTCAGTGCCTCTTTCCTGTAGCAGACTGCAACATGCATAGGTATGAACCAGAATTTAACAGCTTCCCGACCGCCCTACTGCAGAACTATTTCTACAGGGTGGCAGTGCAGCACAAAATCACGTATATATATATATATATATATATATATATATATATATATAATGTATGATTTTGTATTTCTGGGTAGGTGGAGCGTGTGAGTGCGCCGCCTACCCGTGCCTCCATTGGCGGCTACAACTGTCGATCACCAGGTCCCGGCCGGAGATTCCCTGTCGGCACCCAGCAATCACAGAGGAACACTGACAGGGGGGAGGACTGTATATAAACAATACAGATCTCTCCCGTCAGCGCCAGCACGCTGCTTTGTACAAAGCAGCATGCTTACACAGTAAAACAGCACACAGCACATAATGTGAAACACACACAGCGCACAGTTAACCCTTTGATCGCCCCAGATGTTAACCACTTCCTGCCCAGTGTCATTAGTACAGTGTCAGTGCTTTTTATTAGCACTGATCACTGTATTAGTATCACTGGGGATATCAGTGACAGTTAGTCAGTTCCCCCCCAGTGTCAGAATGCCTGCCGCAATCCCACTATAAATAGCTGATCATTACCACCATTACTAGTATAAAAAGAAAAATTCCAGTATACATACTGCCATTTGTTAATACTATAACTTTCATGTAAACTAATTATTTACAAGTATTGGGATTTTTTTTTTTAGCAAAGACATGTAGTAGAATACATTTTGGCCTAAATTTATGATGAAATTTGATTTTTTTAATTTTTTTTTACTGGATGTGTTTAATAGCAAAAAGTCAAAAATATTGGGTTTTTTTTCAGCATTGTTGGTCTTTTTTTGTTTATAGCACAAAATAAAAAATTTCAGAGGTGATCAAATACCACTGAAAGAAAGCTCCATTTGTGGGAAAAAATAAATTTCATTTGGGTGCAGTGTTGCATGACTGCACAATTGTCAGTTAAAATAATGCAGTGCCGTATTGCGAACAATGGCCTGGTCAGGAAGGGGGGTAAATCCTCTGGAGGGCAAGTGGTTAATTCTTCTTCAACTTCTTTTTCTTCTTCTTATAATTCTTCTTATTATTATATCATCATCCTTGGATCCTTATGTTGAGAAGTAAAAATAATTCTGTAGAAAGAAGATACCTCTTTTTAGCAAAATATATACATCGAAACAAGATGTTCTAGGTATAATTGATCTGCCAAGGTATATCATGAAAGATGTTCTGGCTTCTTCTTTTTACAAATATATTTGAAGTTAGTGCTGTCCTGGAATGGTCTGTGCATAAGGGTTTACTAAAAGATTAAAGACTGTTTTAAATAAGGTAACGCTATGTTCATTTTGAGTATCAAGTACAAAAGAAAAGAAAATCTAGATTTTTGCATACACGATGGGATGATTGCTTTACGTTGTTCACTAGGGTAAGTGACCATTCACATAGCACAGTTAACATATACAGTCTCTGCCTTTAATAAATTATTCCTTATAAATATCTCATGTAGAGAGAGACTTGCTCAGAGTGGAGTAACTTTGAACCAACCTGCTGCCATTCTGACA